ATACATACAACGAAACACAAATACAAAAACTTCACTTGCCACAAAGCTCATTACAAAACTCCACAAACTGAAAAAACTTCATACATGCCACGAAACACAAACATCACACGAAAGCTAACAAACTGAAAATTTCATACATACAACGAAACACAAACACAAAAACTTCATACATACAACGAAACACAAACACAAAAACTTCACTTGCCACAAAGCTCATTACAAAACTCCACAAACTGAAAAAACTTCATACATGCCACGAAATGCCACAAAACATCAACAAAAAAATCGACAAAAACAAACAAACCCCAACAAGTTCACACAATCAACAGAAACAAGAGTTCTCAATTTTCATGGATACTATTCTTTCCATGACAAATACTGTTACGGAAACAAAGTCAAATACTTTCTTTCTAATTTACTCTAACTTTAATGCCTATCTATTTATAATGTCAAGAACAATTCATATAATCTATGCATAATTTTTTATGCTATCTATTGGCTCATTTTTTATTATCAATTTTTGTTATATATACTAAAAATATATATTCAATTCTAATATGCAAAAAATGTATCAAGAAAAATTTAAAACACCTTTTTCTCCTTGTAAGTGCCATACAAATTTTCACATTATTATTTTCTTTTTCTCGATGTGGTTCAGGGAGTGTAACTTTGTCTTGTACATTCGCTTTTGGTTATTTTTGTTGATTAAAACAGACGTTAATTTGTAAATTTCTTTATGTAAAAATCATTTTCTTTGGATATAGGATTTCATCAGTTGACGTTGTCGTTGTTGTTCTGATGTGATATTTTATTTAAAAACAAAAGTTTCTAGACAGAGAGGTTCATTGATATTAATAGAATCCAAAATACTCTATTAGTCCAGCAAGAAAATATTCTACAATTCTATTAGTTAACCTGAAACCAGTGGGTGGATCTTTTTATAATGTACAGTGCTCTAAGTATGGTCGGGTCACGATGCTTTATGGTGGAAGCACATATATACATGTTAGGCTTTTCTTGATTCTCCAACCAAGCTTGCTACTACTACTACTCGCAACATCTTGATAAATAAAGTATATGTGTTGTTACAAAATGACATTTATTTATTTATTTATGTGAACTCAATAATTTGAAACTTACAGAAACTTATTATTATTATTATTGTTATTATTTGGTATTAAACACTAACTTAGTTTTATATGATAAAGTCCACCGCCACTTTTTTGACAACTCAAACCATATAATAATATAGTTAAAAACTTCGAAATTGTTACAATAGAAAATAATGATATAAAGAAATGATTAGTTCATTTCCAACTAACTTGGTGATTGGTTTATATAAGTATATATTAATATATGTTAGTTCTCCAAGTGTTACATTTACGATAACTTTTTGCTATCTATAAAACTTAATTAGTGTTCAGTATTTTAATTAGACTATCATATATAGTAAATACAACTAAAAAGCAATAAAGAAAAGGAAATGGGAATTAGAGAGAATGATATTCTCTTCTCAACCGAATTTGATGAAGGAAAAAAAAAAAACCCTGATCAAACTTAGTTCCGGTGGAATAAAACTTAAAACTTGAAATCCTATTAAAAAAAAATTGAAGACACAAAACTTTTAAAATGTTAATTTATTGAGATGTGTCATCATTGGTCCGAGGTTATTGACTTCTGAAAGTCCATAAAAGCTTTCTATAATTAGCAAAAACATTTGACCCCCGGAAAATGCTAAACACCATTGCTTCCGGAACACGTAACACCGCTCACTGCTTTATGTTTCCTTTTTTGGTTTCTTACTTTATTTCTCTTCCTCCATCAATGAGATCTCTCTCTCTCAATCTTCTTTCCCCTTATTCTTCTCTTCAACTAGGTTTCCTTTCACATTTCTCCTTAATTTCTTTCAAAAGTCTGTATGTTGTCTGAAACTCTTGTGTTCTGAAGTTTTGAGATTTTTCTGCAAATAAAAATGGGATATATGGACTTGGCGAAATCGTATACGAATCAAATGCGGGTTGTTGAAGCTCCAGCAAGCGGAGGCGGTCTCAGGTTAAGTTTTCTTTCGTTCTTTTGTGTTTCCAGTTCAAACCTTATCTCTTCTTGTAGCTACATAACATGATTTGGTTTTGTTTGAATTGAGGTTACTTGATGAAAAAGTCATGTAGAACTCTGTTTTTGGTTCAGAGATGCATTTTTTTTAATTCCATTTGCAACGTTCTACTTAACATGCAAGAACTTATAGTCACAATGTTCATGATATTTTTGAATTGCAGTCAGAATGGAAAATTCAGCTATGGATATGCAAGCTCAGCTGGGAAGAGATCATCTATGGAAGACTTTTTTGAGACGAGGATCGATGGTATTGATGGCGAAATCGTTGGTCTGTTTGGAGTCTTTGATGGTATTTCTTGTCCCCTCTCTCAACAATAACTCATCACTTGCCTATATTCATATATGTCTTGATGACCTAAAGATTAGGTTTACCTATACGAAAAGAGTAAAGTATATATATTAATCTTTTCTTACTGTTTGTGACAGGCCATGGTGGAGCCAGAGCAGCAGAGTATGTTAAGCGTCATCTATTCAGCAATCTTATTACGCATCCTAAGTTCATCTCTGATACCAAATCTGCAATAGGTTTACTTCCAAGTTCTTTTGATGACGACTTAGTATTGTTTGATCCGTATACTCTATATTAACATTGTATTTGCTTTGTTTTTGTTTTGGACAGCTGATGCTTATACTCATACAGATTCTGAACTTCTCAAGTCAGAAAATAGTCATACTAGAGATGCTGGTTCAACTGCCTCCACAGCTATTCTCGTTGGTGATCGTTTACTTGTTGCAAACGTTGGTGATTCCAGAGCTGTTATATGTCGAGGTGGAAATGGTATGAATGATTACTCTGTACCTCTCTTTAAGATCTTATCATGTGAATGTTGTTTTGAACGAAATGGTTCATGTGCGATCTTGTAGCTTTTGCTGTGTCAAGAGACCATAAACCTGACCAAAGTGATGAGCGTGAACGGATTGAGAATGCTGGTGGCTTTGTGATGTGGGCAGGTAACAAGAAACTGTTAAGTTATTTTCCAAAATTTTGCACATAGTCGTTCTAATATATCTTCATGAATAGGGACTTGGAGAGTTGGAGGAGTTCTTGCGGTTTCTCGCGCTTTTGGTGATAGACTTCTGAAACAGTATGTTGTTGCTGATCCAGAAATTCAGGTATAGAGAACAAAACTTCTCTTGCATATGAACTCTATCGATCAGTACATCTACTTTTGTTTTATTAAGGTTCATGTCTTAACTCTAGGAAGAGAAGATTGATGATTCTCTTGAGTTTCTGATCCTTGCCAGTGATGGATTATGGGATGTTTTCTCCAATGAGGTTTGTGAATTTGAGGACCTAGTAATCTAGTATACATTCCCAATTATTGTTTCAACAAGTTTTATATCAGACTCAATGATTGAGAGATGTCTATGGTGTTGTAGGAAGCAGTTGCAGTGGTGAAAGAAGTTGAAGATCCGGAAGAGTCTTCCAAGAAACTTGTGGGAGAAGCAATAAAGAGAGGAAGTGCAGACAATATCACATGTGTTGTTGTACGTTTCTTGGAGAGCAAGACTGCTAACAAGAATGGTTCCAGCTCATCTGAGGAAACAAATCAAAGAGAAACCGCTGTTAGAAATGTCTCAGACCACAAGAACGCAGCCAAAGCAACCAATCAAGACTATATCGCAGTACACAAGGATTTGGACCGCAAAGCTGACAGTGAAAGCCTAAACCAAAAGCCAATTGCAGCAAGAACCGAAGAAATCTCAAATCAAAAGCCGATTGCAGCTAGAAATGATGATAGCTCGAACCAAAAGACGATTGCAGCTAGAAATGATGATAGCTCAAACCAAAAGCCAATTGCAGCTAGTAGCAACGAAAGCCTGAACCAAAAGTCAATTGCAGCTAGAAGTGATGAAAGCTCGAACCAAAAACCGATTGCAGCTAGAAGTGACGAAAGCTCTAACCAAAAGTCGATTGCAGCTAGAAGCGATGAAAGTTCAAAGCAAAAGTCGATTGCAGCTAGTAGCAATGACAGCCTGAACCAAAAGCCGACTGCAGCTAGAAGCGATGAAAGCTCAAACCAAAAGCCAATTGTAACTAGTAGCAATAAGAGCCTGAACCAAAAGCCAATCGCAACTAGAAGCAACGACAACTCAAACCTAAAGCCAACCGCGTTAACAGCAGCAGAACGCAATGTTTCTTCTGAACAAAGTGGTTTAGCCGGAGAAAAAAAACAAATGCCAATCGCAATTCGTAGTGACACAGAGGCCAAGAGCTCAGTCAAACTACCTAACCAAGGGAAGATCACATTAGATAATAACTTGAACCTTAACACTGCAAAGAAACCTGTCACAGCAACACACAACTTAGAACAGAGCGGATCAACCAATGAAAAGAATCGAAAGCCGATCGAAGTTCATAGGGACTCCTCCTCAACCAAGGCAAGTAGCGTCCCCTCTATCTCTTACTAAAACCCACACTAACTTCATAATGATCTTTTGGATATATAATCGTACTATGCCTTCATTTACTTTGAACTATCTTTAGTGTCTTTAAGATTTTGCCTCGACTGATTTGTCATTGATATAAGTTTTCCTTTCTTTGCCATCTTCTTCTTGAGGCCTTTAACTTCAATAATGTAATTCTTCTATTTGCCATGTACTAAAACCTGTATATTTTAACTTTGTTGGTTCTAAATGGTTAGTATTTTGTAATTATAATACACAAAAACATATTCAAAATCACATGATATATACAAAAACAAAGTTACATATAAACACCACCCACTCAATTCTCCATCCTCTCTCCCACAACAAACTCATCAACCAAAAACAAACATCTCGTTTTAAATAAAACGTTCGTTAAAAAACCTTTATTACACTAAAAACAAAACACCAAAGTAACCATTTTTAAGAGTCTACCTCTCTCTCTTTCTCTCGTTCTCTCCTTTCACTCAATACCTAAAACGTAGGTACAAGTCCGAACCCACTAAAGATACCGCCATGGCCAACCGCATCGTTGCTCTCGCTCGTATCCGTCCGCTTCGCAAACCGCCCCTTGATCCTCGGTCTCATTTCCGCATACGCTTTCCTCGAAGCATACCTTATCGTCTTCTCAAACTTCCTGTTCTTCCTCTTCTCTCTGTACCTCATTACCCTCGCCTCTCTCTCCGCCGACGTCAGCGGTACTGCCTTCTGGCTCCCCGGATCAGCTCCACTGGTTGCCGGACCACCGTAAGGATATGATACATCAGCTACTGAGCCACCATCTGGCACCACTCCCACTTCCAACGACGATGATGAGACCTGCAGTAAAAACATTAACAACTCTTTAAGACTAAACACCTTTGCATGTTCCGATTAAATTAACAATATCGACAAAAGTTATATGATTATTATATTTAGAGATACTTAAACTTTAGGATTATAATAGTATTTCATCTAATTACAGATTAATTGACAAATGTTATAACCCTAAATTTTAGTCAACCAATCATTAGCTCCCAAATAAATTAATAATTTAAGTCATTAAAAGTCGTAATAACCCTAAACAATTAACATTTTTGAAATTTGGTTACGAAACAATTAAACTAATCAGAATATAATTATGATTAATGAAGTTTTTAGCTTACGCTGTGACTGATGCAATTGTAACCACCACCATAAGCAAAGCCCTTAGATCCTCCGGTGAAATCCAACTCATAGCAATTCTCATTCACCGTCGGAACCCTAACAGTACGATTCTCAACCGGAACAACACCATCGGTGCCGGAGCTATTCTGCTCCAACGATTCCACCTTCGGATCAACATTCCCGTAGTCCAGATCCAGATACGGATCCGGATCCGAGAACAAGTACTGCTGACCCGTGTTCATCTCGGGACTATCTCCCGGAACCTCCTCAGCCGCGGTACCAGCAACCATCGCCGTCGTCGTAGTAGCAGTCGCAGCACTAGCCTTCGGATTCGGAAGCAACAGCCACGAAGCAGCTTCTTCCTCCTCCTCTTCGCGGCTCCCGTTACCAGCAAGATCGGAGAAGTAACAGTCGTCAAGGAAATTAACGGCCGTGTGTTTAACGGAACCGTCACTGGAGACGGAATCGTAAAACGGCGTGACGGGAACGCGCTCGTGGCGACGAGCTAAGGGATTAGCAGAGTGTATGTCACGGTCGCACGTGACGCAAAGCGCGGCAGCGTCAGCTTTGCACGTGACGTGAGCCGGTGCTTGCTCACAAACCTCGCACATCCAGACGCGCGCGTGACGGGACGCGAGTTTGTTCGCCGCGTGGACTTTGGAATCGCAGCTTAGGCATAGAAACGCTGCGTCTGGTCGACAGTATAAAGCCGCCGTCGCCGATTTGCACGAATCACAGAGCTTAGACGCCATTTCTCTCTCTCTCTTCTCTCTTAAAGCTCTCTCTCTCTGTAAAATAAGTTTCAGTGTCTCTCTCTCTCTCTATCACTTTTGTGGTTGGTGTTACAATGGCTTCACATGAGCGTGTCTACGAGTCTATCCAGGGGTATCCATCTAGATCGAATTAGAATTTGACACGTGGTCTAATCTTAGCCAAACAACGGAGTGAAAAAATAAGATTTAATTAAAAAAAAAGTATTGAAACACCGATGCTGTTCGGAATTAGGCACAATGCCTTCAACACTTCAGATTCAGTAACTATTGTTTTCTGAAAAGACTTTAATACCCTTAGTTATGTGATGTCATTCACAATATTTTTCAGCCAGAAATATTATTTCCATTTTCTTCTTTCTACGCATCGTCACATTCATTATCTCTATTATTCTCTCTCTCATCCGGCTGAACCATCGTTCCACCTCCAATGGAGAAGAAAAAGAGTAATTAGCATCTTAATCGGTTAGATCCTTCATCCTTGTTGTGGTAGCATCGACAAACCTCGAAGAAACATCAATCTATGATGCTTAATTCATTCAATCCGAGAAGGTGGCGGTGGCCGAGCCTTATTCATAAACAGCTCCATGTTTGTATACTGGTTTGTCCATGGTGCGACTCGACCTGCTTCCTCTAGTTCCAATTGGAGGTAATAGCCCAAAAGTAATTGTAAATTTATGTTACCTTTAAACATAATTTGACGGAATATCTAGCATAAATTTGACTGAATGTATTGATAAAATTGCAGCTTTGCATTAGATGTTTTGTGGAGTTTCTGTTTCTAAATTCTCTTTGGTAACCTTTCAGGACACTGGTGATAACGAGAAGTGGAAGGAATGTTTATGTGGATGACACCCTTGTTTTGTGAAGTCATCTCTACCAAACACGTAATAAAAGAGTGGAGGTTCCAATTGAAGGTATATAAGCCAATTTTGTGCTATGATCTGCTCTGACCTTGTAACTCTTCATCTCAAGGTAAAGAATGATATTTGGCAGTTTGTATGTTACCACTGCGAGTTTATTCATATGCCTTGTATTTGGGATATAGCTTTGATTACCACGGCAAAGTTAAGTTGGTTTCCCTTGGGTTTAGTGATCTATCTTGGCTTTAGGGTATAGTTTTGAACACCACCACGTTGTGAAATTTGTCTGCCTTGGGTTCATTCATCGAACTTGCCTTTAGGTTATAGGTTTGAACTTTGAACACTACCCATCTTTATATTAATTTCCCTTGGGTTTAGTCTTCTATTGTGGCTTTAGGGTATAGTTTTTAACACCACCGCGTGGTGAAATTGGTTTCCCATAGGTTCATTCATCCCACTTGCCTTATAAGTTATAGCAAGAATTATAATGATGTTCTAGTTTCCGATACTCTTACTATATTGCTAATCTGAATTTGTGTAGGTGAAACAAATGTTGAGTTCGCTTCAGTCTTCATCACAATTTAAAGGTATGACAATACATTAATCTCACATTGACATAGGGGTATTTACTTCCTTCCTCTGCTTCATTCTCTTATTATCTCCTTTGTTCCAGCTGATTGTCATGGGGAGATATATAGATGTGGACAAATCAAGAAGAATGGAAAGCTTCTCACTTTATATCTCAACGAAGCTTATGGATCTGGATTCCAATCCAAAAACTGAGTAGTTGTTCTGATAAAATCGATGATCTCACTTGTAATTGATTCATAGTGGATAAAAAAAATTCATGATTAAATTTTTATATACGATAAGAAAATAAAGCTAGTTTCGTATATATAGTTTTTAAGGAATTTTAATTACTAGTGATTTAGTGGTCGAAAGAAAATATATTAAAACTATCTTGTGGACACAATATTACCAATTAATAGATTGTGATTTGTGAATCAAGCAAATACGTAGTTTCCTATGTAATACAAAATTGTTATAATCAATTGGTTAGCCATGCTTAATTTGTCTGATGTCATCAACATATTCCAAGGTTAAAATTGTCATGCACAGTTCGATTTTGCTTTTTATTTTTGCTATAGTTGTAACGATGCCTAAATCCGAAGTTAGATCCCAAATAATGCCTATTCTTACAATACACTCAAAAAATAATGTATATTACTTGGCACTATAGTTCTGACTAATTGCATTAAAATGACTATTACTATGTTTTTTACACACTTGTGTTGATGATTCTGGATACTAGACATTTGGCAACAGGTGTTTTTTTATTTTTTTGCGAATAATGCGTAGCGAATTTGGCTAAGGGTTTATAGAAAAGGTTGTTGTTGTTATGTACAAAATACAAAAGTGAGATTTGAGAAGAAGAAAAAGAAGTTGAATATAGTTGTAAAGAAGTGTTATTATGGGGTAGATGAGTGTTAGGACCACCACCCACGAGAAGCAAAGACTTAAATGGGAGATGATCACTGTGGTGGCTAAAGTAAATGGCCGGTGGGTAGGTCGGTCGTTAGTGGGCTTAATGGGCCTGACAATGGACCATGGGTTTTAGTTTTATCTTTTGTGAGATAGTGTGACTATAAATGATTGGGTTCTATGGATCCCTTTTCTGTAACAGTGGTGATTTTTTATCTTTTGCATATTTTGTTGTTGGCTAATTTGCCTATTTCTTTAGCCCAGTAAACATTATTTCTCAATCCGGTTAAAGTCACAAAACTCATTGCTTCCATAGAACCATTCTTTTTTAAAATGATAGAGAAATGTGTAAATTCGTACATCCCCTTAGACCATAGATCAGAGCATTTTATGTTATACCGCTTTCTTCCTTCTACTAAAAAAAAGAGAAGCAAAAGAGAAAAAACGAAAGAGCAAAATAAAATGTTGACATCCATTCTCGATTTAAAAGTATACATGTTTTGTTTACACAATTACCATTAAAAAAAAAAGTATAGAAAACTACAAATAAATAAACAAAATTTTGGGAGAAACACATTTCATTCGCATGTTACCTGTTGAACCTAACTACATGCATGTTTTTGATATTTTTTTTTCAATTTATTTATTTATATATATCAAGTTGTTAAAATTCACAAAGATTGGAAAATAACAAATATCATGGAAAATGTGGAAGCTCTCTGTCTCTGTGCTGATTAGTGTGAAAAAAAAGATTTGATTTTATATAATAATAATAAGCGTTATGCAATAAATAAGATGGTTGCAGCAGCATCGCATCGCCGCGTCAGCGTCAGGTGATTGCATCAAACAGACCAAAGTCATTATATTACAACTGTTCCAAAGTAACCTAAAAAAAACAACAACCGTCTACGTACTGACACATGTCCATATTATGACGTCATCTTCGTCTTTCTCAAAGTGTTTTTTTTTCCTTCTTACCGATAAATAAAAAATAAAAAAGCTTGCCGGCGGCAAAAACCATGGGAAAGTGTCGAGTCATCAATCCATCAATTAATATTATCAGTTACGAGTGAAACGATGAATTGACAACAGTATCGTACTTGCTTCTTGTACTATTCTTAAAACTACTACTAGATCACTTGCAATATCAATTTTTAAATAGCAAAAATATAAAACACTTTGATACAAAAAAAAATTAAAAATTAAAACACTGCATTAATTTAGAGAAACAAACCCTATTAAAAAGGAGTGAGTATTCATATTAAATTTCTGACAAATGATTCAATTATAATTAAAGTATCCAAATTTTGAAAGCTTATTTACAAAACAAAATTGACACAATAATAAAAACGCATATGTTAATTGTGTAGGTGTTGTTCTATATGTGGTATCATATAAAATAAATTGTGTCGGATAAAATAATTTTTTTTAATATACACTTATAAACTTATGCAATATTTTTCAAAATACACTTCAAACCAACATCACTATTTTCACTGTTTTACCGTCACGATATGATGTTGTTCTCTTTCTTAATTTTGAGTTAATACATCTCTCATCTTTCTTTATTAATTTTTGGTACAATAAGAAATCAAGTATTTAATTCCCACTTAAAGCATCTTCAATAGATGGCTCACTCAACCAAAAACATGCTCCTCTAACTTAGAGTGGTAGCCACTCGAAAAATTTGGTTAAACTTCTTTGTTTTTTTTTTATGGCAAATTAACTAGAATTTGGCTACATCAGATCAGGTGCATATACCCTTTAAACAAAAGGTAACTTGAAATTTTAGCTTATACTAGCATAAGTACTTTCATATACCAACAAATATAGAGAAAGAAACCCAAAATATGCCAACTTCTTTGTTCACATTCACTACTCTCTAGCAAAGATTTTTACATTTTCAAGTTCGATAAAAACAGAGGAAAAACTAAATCCCCCAAACAAACAAACAGAACCGACAAAAACAGAGGACGAAAGTAAAAAAGAACACTCTTCTTGAGTCTTGTCTTGAGAAGAGAGCTCAATGGTCTTCTTCTGCTCCTTTAGATTCACCATTCTGCCCTTCTTTCCTAGTCGTAATTACGCAGTCCGGGCAAATCTTGGCGACGACCGGAGTAGCCAAGAAAGTGGGGTTGTTTTGTCCAGCCATGATCACAAGAATCTTCTCTTCGAAAACCTTAGCCACCACTTTCTCACCGGACTCGGCTTGTTTCTCCTCATCGTCTCTTTCACGAGAAACTTTCCAGTAAGAGCAACCGAGCAACAAGAGAGCAAAGGCTATGAGTCCGAGCATGGCTGCTAAGCCACCGAATAGGTAAGGAACTGGTGTACGCCACGGTGGACGTGTTTGAGACGCCACCATTGTCGACGTCGACGACATCTTTGCATATATATTTCCTCTTATGTTTGGAAACTGCCTCATTGTGTTTTTTTTTTCTTTAATCTTCTTGGAATTGTTGAAGGGTAAAGAAGAAGAAGAAGAGGAAACGTGAAACTTTTGTGTAAGCTACTGTAAACTTTTTTGTTTGTTGTTTAAGTTGTGAAGCTTGGAGTGGTTTACAGATTATTTATAGTAGTGGCAGAGTAAAGATAGAGAGAGAAATGTAAATATTTCACAAATGTCATTTTTTTTTTTTTGAGTTTAAAATTATTAGAAAACCAATATGAAGGTAAGTGGGTCACGGAATCTCCATGATACGTTACATTTGCTTTGATCATGCACCAGGTTCGAAGATATTTATTAATGTTTTTTTTGGACTTTTACATATACATCTTGAGTTTTTAAACTTAAAAAATGGTTAACCAATTCTATTGTGATTTATGTCATTGTATTGTGATTTTATCTTTTGTGTGGTAAAAGTTATATGTTAAGTGTTATTCCATCATGGAGTTAAAGTTGAGAAGTAACTTAAGTTTTATAAATTTTTAGATTATTTTTAAATTCATTTGTGTGGATTTTAAAGTTTTCATGCAATACGTTTTGAATTTTGATTCTGATTAAAATCTTTAGTTTTAAATAACAGTACGTTTTATTGAAGTATCAGAAATTTTATTCTTGAATAACACTAAATTTGAAATTATATTTAACATGATTTACAAATATAAGCTATAACAGTGCTAGATTTTAAAGCATAATTTAAATTGTTTTGAATGAATGTAAAAATATATTTAAAAAAACAAACTGTGGTCTAAAAACTGTATAATGAATCAAAACTTGAAATCAATCCAAGAATATATGCAAGTCTTTTTTACATGTTCTATGTTCCTTAAAAGACAATAGACGGTTTACTATGAATCGATCGATATTTTTGAACGGGATCGTCGATGAAGTTTCTTGATCTTTTGCAATTCCATTCATGCCAAATCATCAATTCAAAATAAATTAAATAATAGTGAAATGAGAATGAATTTCAATAAAATTTAGTTTTATAATAATCATATCTTAACCCGAACTAAAAAAAAAAATCATAAGAGATTCGTAGATAAGATAATGAGCTTAATTCCCAACACTAAATCTCACATTTTAAGATTTTCACACTGCAACAAAAATACTTAATATTATGGTCTTTCTTTTTTGGTTTATAAACTTGTAATTTTATTGATATCAATCATATTTTGGGGAGAGACAAAAAGAAAACATAATTATTATATTATTTTGGATTACGGAATATAAAGCGGGCCAAGCTTGTGTGTTTTATTCGGGCCCATGAATTTCACATGGCCATATTATTATTACGCTAACTCAGGGGTATATTTGTCTTTTAAAAATGTGCTATTTGGATAATAATAATTTTGCCCCCCTAACAGTAAAAGTATATATATTTGGGTTTTACTTTTTAATATTCCACAGATTTTATTTTTATGTTTCCATAGTTGGATGGGAATATTTCGTTTTGTATAATCATTGGTCAAGTCAAGTCTCTTAATATATTTAGATTAGTGTTTACATATATTTTATATTATTAGACTAGATATCATGTACTATTTATCTTTAAATGGATAATTTATATGATATAAATAAACCATACCGGATGAATATATAGAAATAAAACTATTATAACAATAGAGTGGGAACAAAAGATGAATATGGATTCGATATTATTCTTGGATTATGTTTTTTTTTTAATTACACATATCTTTAAGTAGTCTTGGTTTTAACTTTTAAGTAATTTTTTCATTATCCATTATGCGTTGAAATATCCGAAACTGAGAATTTTACTTTTTAACATTTTCTCCTTTTTATTTATTTTTGAGCATTTTTGAGAAATACCCCTTTTGGTGTACCCCTTTTTAAAAATACCCCCTTTATCTATCCATTTTCAAAAATACCCCTTTTTAAATATAAAAATTATAAAGTTTTATATAGTTTATAAGGTACTTCTATATAATAACTACTACTGGGAGATTCGATACGAATATTTTAAAATGTTTTAAATAGTTTTAAATCGTTTTTATAAGTTTTATAAAGTTTTTATCAGGTTTTTAAAAGGGTTTATATGGTTTTTATAAGGTTTTTATAAGGTTTTTATAATTTATTTTTACGCTATTTATGAAAGATATATAAAGTTTTATACACATATAAAGGTAATTTGTGTATATATTTATAAGCTTACACACATATTTGGATAAATTTAAACATTTTTAGTAAGTTTTTTGATAAAGTTTGAAAATGGGGTATTTTTAAAAAGATGTATATGAGAAGGGGTATTTTTGAAATTCCCCCTTTATTTTTTCTTTACAGAACTTTAAAAACATTTTCGTGACTTTCGAATTTTATTTGTCACCAAACCCGTTACATCTACAACGTACACATATCTCCGATATGATGAGTTCAAATATCGATTATATATGTCGGCCAATTTTTTTGAACCTATCAGGCTTTGTATGCTGAACTAATAACTAGAGTTCACCAAAAGATAACTAATAACTAAAATGACAAATTAATAATACTATTCGTGACACTGGAGATGGTCTAACCTGCAGGCTTAGTAAGCATTTGTTAATTGATTTTATCAAATCTCATCCATTAAGTTTTATCATAATATATATTCAAATGGTATTTGTACTCTACGTACTAGTGTTATTGATGCATCGTCGCTTCAATTCGAACCTGCATGTTGTTAAAAAAATCATTTAAAATTGTAGATCACGACAAGTTGTTTAGCTTAGATCAAGTTAAGTTAAGTACTTGAGTTTAAGTTTGAAGCTAAGTACAAATATGTATGTTTCGAAGCAGTATATATATGAGTTTGTTCGACAATACAAGAAAATGAGATTATGGGAATATTTTGATGGAGTTGGAGGAGACATGACAACTTGAAAGAGAATTTGTAATTGTGGATTGTCAACTTGCGAATCTTTTATTTCTCCTTTGATATTAATTATTAGGCAAGTAAAGCAAACATACACTTTCGATACCTTTGGACCCATTTAACCATATTCATGCATATCTATATATGCAGTTATGCACTATGCACATTGGCATATATACGTAAAATGTATAACTCACGTACGTGCATCAATGCATTATGCATACTAAAAAAATAGAAATATAAATACCTTATATATATAAAAACATAGAATCTTTGTTTTCCCTTTACAAGAAATTTGTTTAATATTTTAGATTTTTATTCTAACCACGATTTTATTAAAAAGCTAGGAATCTTACTATATTATATCTTAATGTATTTAGAGATTAGTCAATGCTAGTCACTGTGAGTCTGTGACTAGTTCTACTTAACAGCTAATTAATTCATAGTATTTTCTATTTTCCAACTACAAAAAAATTGTTTGTAGTTTACTTTAAGCGATTGGTTAGAAAGAACATGAACCCTATTTTACTTTTATACTTCTGTATGTATGATACAATAAAAAAAAACCAACATAAATAACAAAGGTAGCACGATCATCGTAAACTTCTTAGATATTTTTATTCATTTATAGAAAAGGTTATAAATTGTTGGGTTTATAAAAGAGTTGTTTCACCCAATTATGGAATAATTAAAAATGGGTTGACAAAAAAACATATTCCCACGATTAAATGTCTGCAAAATTTGTTTTGTTCATAGTATAAAGATGATTCCCCCAAATCTGTGTAATTTAGATAAGCTAATTAGAAAGCAAGAAATATTAATTATTAATGAAGAAAGAAAGAACACATAGATTCTTCTAAAATTGGATCAATCATGTGCAAATAACCCACTTAGATCATATGAATAAAATTAAAGGTTACACTGTATACTCTTGTCAACAAATATTCTTATTTCCACCATCGCAAAAGCATCTGAAGTTTTACTCTCTCCTTTCACTGATATTAGTAAACTACTTACCTGTTGGTTAAGCCAAAGGGTCATCTCTTGTTCATCACGACTCCATCACGTGAAGCATAAACATATATATCAATATGATGATATGTATGCACATATATATTGAACTTAAATACACATATGATACAAATACAATGATAGTTGTAACATGTGAATGGAGAAAGTGATTGATGTACGCAAGCTATAGATGGATAGAGAGATGGGTGATACCGATTTGTGCTTGCATGAGAGATTCGCTTCCATGTACGTGGGAGAGAGGCTTATAGATTTAATGTGAAGCCAGAGAATATATTTTTTTTATTCATACAACAATAAAGTCATAAGATTATTCGAGATCTTGTTGTGAATCAAACGTAGATACGAATATATTTTCTGCCTACATTGATGTATCGATCTGTTTATATATGACTTTGTGAGACATTTAAGAATCATATCTAGCTATAACTTCTTTATTTTATATGTTTAATAATATTGATTTTGATTCTTTGAATTAATATAATTAGTGAACATATATCTCTTCAGTTTAGTAGTCTATAGCGAGGGGTATGTATTTGTGTTTGTTGTACATTTTATTTAAAAGAACGGTGAAATATATGGTATTTTTTTAATTACAAAATTCGGACAAAACAAATTCAAATGTTTTCACTAGTTTAGATTTTCATGTTCAAAATTTACAATAAATTAAATCATTTCTATTCTAAAATTAGGTTTCAAAAGATGCAATGAGACTGAAATCTAGTGATTAACTCTCTCATAGCGTACAATCCTTTTACGATGGAAGGGTCAAACGTAACATAAATTCCTTATTTAGGCATACATAATAATAAGACTACACAGTTCAGCTGATCACAACTCTACTTTGCAGAGGCATAATGTACTTGAATAAATTGATTATACTTGATTAAGTATCAATTGTTGGTTCAATGGCTTCATCTATTTATTTTTCAAACAATATAATATGGTTAAATTAAACGATTATAAATTTTGACATTAAACTCATGAAACAAAACCGTTAATAGAGAAAGAAAAAAACAGCTTTGAACTTTGTTGCTAAGAACATAGGTTCGTCATTACATATATCATCAAACATTGTTGGAATTTGAACAATAAGACTCTAAGTCAGCCATATGATAAATACTTGACACCATATCTATGTTATGCTAAAGCTTTACAACATAACTTGTGATCATGTAAGAAAAAACAAGTAAT